GTGTGTGTGTGTGTGTGTGTGTGTGTGTGTGTGTGTGTCGAGTTGCGACCAGAGTCCATCACGGTATACATAAACGTCTCCTGGTGGTCTCCTTAGTGTCTCCCCATCTCTACCCCCTCCCCACATACACACACATGCATGTAACCAGAAGGCCTAAAGGCATGTTACACGTGTTCACACTGGAAAATGCTTTGGAACAAGTGGGTGTGCAGCAGTGGTGGCTGCTGCTGCTGCATCAGAACCCCCCCCCCCCCCCTCCAGTGGAGCAGAAATCCCCCTGCATGTTTGGATTTAATTTAGGTGGTATATGGCGAAATGAATCTGCAGCTCTAACCTTTGTGAGAAAATGTTTTAAACACCCCCTCGTGGAGACTCGTCCACTGCGTTGTTTGCACGTGACTGCATTCTGCTTTCTCATTTTTGTACCCCCCAGGAGAGAAACCCTTCAAGTGCGAGTTCGAAGGCTGTGACAGAAAATTCGCTAACAGCAGTGACCGGAAGAAGCACTCCCACGTCCACACCAGCGACAAGCCGTACTACTGCAAGGTCCGCGGCTGCGACAAGTCCTACACGCACCCGAGCTCGCTGCGGAAGCACATGAAGGTGCATTGCAAGTCCCCGCCGCCCCCCACCACCACCACCACCACCAACAACAACACCACCAACGTCCCCTACATATCCTCCACGAACCCGATCGGGGACCCTCTGTCTCCCAACTCAGTGCCGCACAGGAACCGAGCCTCCGTGAACCTCTCCCCTCAGGTCACCAACCTCAACGAGTGGTACGTGTGCCAGGGGAGCGGCGGACCCCACCACCTCCACACCCCCTCCAGCGACGTGCCAACGTCGGACGAGGACGAGGACTCTTTCAGAAATTCAGACCCGAGGACAATGCTCTGATGTCCCACCCAACCCCGTTTTTGACCATGTGACTGTCAGACATTTTATCTATGTGACCCGTTACAGTGTGTAGATCCACGTCGGGATATTGATCACGTTACTCAACCACGCAGATAATTCACTATTATCTGTCTAACTACACAAGGGAGAAGTTCTCCCGAGGTGACCCCTGACCTTTCCTGAAATATAGATCAAAGCTGTCAAAATAAAACAACTGACATTAGAACTGAAATTTTAATTCTTATTTTGAAAGGACCAACAAATTTAAAGTGAGCCAATTTCTGAATAGAACTTTCCAGCAATTATTATTATTATTATTACAAGAGCAATATGCAGCGTTTAATCAACTGTGTGGCTTTAGACTCAACTGGTGTGCTGAAATGCCATGTTTCACGTGGCCTCCCATCACCCCCCCAAGCAGTTTAATAACTCGCCTGCTATCAATCATTGTCATATTCCAGACGTTTAAGGAAAACAAATGGTACTGGTCGTAGCCCGGATAATGGCAACATAGCAAATGTTGATGGACACAATTTAGAAGATGCGATTTTTTTTTTTTTATTCCATGTGATTTTTTTAAGATGTGGTACAAACTTTGATAAACCAATAAGGACAACAAAAAAAAGAGGAGGCAAACATCTGAGTGTCTTAAGGGTTTCTCATTTACCTTTTCAGATTTATACAATACATGTGTTTGGATGGAATTTTGTAATATTTAAGAACTATTTAAGACTATATTTTATGCAAAAGTACACAAGTGTTATGCTCGTTAAAGAGTACGAGTAAGTCCCTTGAGACCCTAAATGTCTACACTGACAGGCTTTGTCCCTGTAGGATTTGTATATATGTAATTGTACTGATGCTTGTGAATGTTGTGTAGTTTTTAATTACAAGAAGAAAAAAAATAATGTTGTTTTGTACATTGTAATTTATTTGCTGGTATCAATGTTGTACTGGAACTACAGGAACACCAAAGAATAATAATATCAGTTTTGGTGATGCATAGTAGCCTACCCTGCTGATGTTTTTTTTTCAATTTCATTTTATTTTTCTGTTGTTTTATTTTTAATTTCTTATTGTGTTCTGTAAAAGAAGAAACATTTACTTGAATAGGCTGTGTAATGTGAAAAGTCCCTTTCTCGCATGCCTTTTGTGGTCTTTCTCTTTGAGGTGCATGGTGCCATTGTACATGATGGATAAAAAAAAGAAAAAGAAAAGATGAACCAGCTATGATTGTGCAGACCCTTGATGTTCAAAAATTTTATTTGCAATATAAATTTCATGCTAAAAAAATAATAAAAAAACAGGACATATACAGTCAATATTTAACAAGTGTCAACTTATTATGCGTAATGAGACTGAATACACGGAAATTCAGCTGGTATAATGACCTTTTTGAATGTTAAATGTAAATAAGAGTCAACAAAACATTAATGCCATTCTCAAATGACATGAAAAATTAGAAGTGTTCACCTTCTATCCAGATATTTCTATGAAATATTCGCTCAGAGGGGGGAAAAAGGCCCAACGGGCCCAAGGAGGCTGGTATAAACTAATCACTGAGCTAATGGGAAAACTTATAGCCCCCTTATGGCGCTACCTCTGAAAGGCGGCGACGGCACAAAGCGAGGCTGAGGCATGAATCATTCATGGTGAAAATAAAAAAGATAAAAAAGCTATCTTGACAACACAGGGCCTTGTATAGTAGTGTATAAAACAAATCCCCCCTCCTCCCCTCTCTCTCTTATTTCCTCCATTAAAACACACAATCTCACTTTCAAAGAGTTGCCCGTCCAGTTCCATAGAATTGAAGAAAAAAAATTTGACCAGCGCGAGTCCTGCACCACTTCAAAGGCTTCAGTTTCTGGAGAGGGGAAGGGGCCGGGCCGCTTTGACGAGTCTTCATGGCGCGTTAGGATTTCTATGGTGAGACGCTCACGTTTGAATGTGTCTGGTTGCAACAAAAAAAAAAAAAAACGCTAACTGCCTCTAAATGAACCGTAAGCAGATAGCTCAGGGTGCACCCTCTCTCCAGTGTTGGCACGAACACACCGGTGGGCAGGTAGATGACGCACGAGCCGCACACTTGCCCGCTTAGAATTTGACAAATCCAAATGAGGGAAAAAAGAGAGTTCAAACTGAGACATTGTAAACAAACACACACACACACACACACACACACACACAGGGAAAATGATTCTGAGCTTCCACACTGCATCAATTAAGACACTTGACTCAGGTCAACCTGGAGGATGCTGGGACTGTGGCCATAAAATGCAAACACTCGATCAGCACTGGGGTGCAAATAATCTCAAATGTTATGCGCGTTTCGCAGAAAAAAAACCTCCCACTTCAGCAGCATTAGGAGGCTTCTTTTTTAAAAGGTGACAACTGTAGGTTTGTTTAGCTGTATTCATGGCGCTTTATCAATTTTATAGCTGTCCTCTATAAGCATTTATAAAAAGAACACTTCATCTGCTGCTTCATTCAATGTAGGAAGCACGTGAGGGCCTCCTCTCGCTTTGTGCGCGGACGTTTTTATAGGGCTCAGGCCCCCCCAAAAAAGCGTATAGCCCGCTCTTGTAGCTCCTGTTTGGAAACAAGAGCTCCATGAATGTTGCAAAATAAACACGGTGAAAAGCAGTTCCTCTGGTATTAAAAAAAGGAGAGAGGAGACTTAATAAAAAACAAGGAGTGAAGCGGTCACCCTTCAGTGAGAAACGCTTTGAAGTAGAACTTATTATCTGAGGAATAGTTTTTGGTTGTCCCAACGACGAGGCTGAATGGGGGAAAGGCGCTCCCTTTGTCAGCGATTTGTTCTCCTTTAGTGGGATGCCCGTGGAAATCACTTACATGGGCCACCTTAACATACTGCCTGCAAATCAGTAACCGGCGGAGTCAGACATGCAGACGCCACTTCGGAAGGGGGGGGGGGACAAAGCGAGAAGTCGCAGTGAAAACGCCGCTGCTGCTTCTCCTCAATCGGGGGGTTGAACGATAATTTCTCAGACGAGCGTGGAACCAAAACAAATGCCGTATTGTCAGACTTTACAAGCATTATCCACCTCCTGAATGCTGTTGGCACAACGTGCTTGTGAAGTGATCTTTTTTTTTGGGGGGGGGGTCACAAAAGTTAAGAGGCTCTGGTTATTTAGGAGGGAAACCAACAACAACAAAAATCACATATTTAGGGTAATTTGATCACCTGCGCGAGAGGTCAATGTGCTCGGCTCACCTTGGAGGCAACATTTAAGTATTTTAAAGTCTTTGCCGATTTTTTTTTTGTTTTTGTATGAGGTTTATTTTTTATGTGAACCAGAAAGCAGGTGTGAAGAAGCAACCAGCATCCCTCCACTCCAACACCACCACCACATCACATCGGCACAGAAATCTAATACAGCAGAACAGCAGCACCTTGTGACAGCTTCGGATGGTTTTTATTTTAATTTTTTAGCTCAGTTACGAAATGAAAATCTGACATCTCTTCTCTGACAAGTGAATATTAAGAAGTGGGCGAGGACCCCTGGAAATAAAGAATAAATAGTAAGAGAATGCAGATTTGCCATATTCAGTCAAGTTAGAGCCCGATAAGGTGAGAACTATGTTGAAATATAGGGCATGGTGTTTCGGGGGGACTAAGTTGACCCTCTTTTTTATGTTGCCTAATGTGGGTAATTAAAATACAGATTTTATTGCTGCTCTTCACCTCTCCCTCTAAATACACTGTAAATCCCCCAAAACGGAGGGCTTTAATGCATCATCTGTGCACCGTTAAACTTTGCTGTGAAGCTAAGCAGCCTATAATGATCAGAACAAAAAATGATTACACACGCTACAAATAACGTCATATAACTCTTACATGAGGGTGCGCGCGTGTCTCTGCCCCCCACAGAAGTGTAGGCCACACACCTGTTTGCCTGCCCAAGTTTTTATCTGAGTGAAAGTCTCCATCGTTCCCCTTCTCTCCTTCTTTCTTATAAACTCTCATTTTTAACGGCCACATTTTTGCTATCCGGGCATTCCGCCAGCGGGGCTTTCCGAGCTCCCTACCTGCGTATACTCTCTTTAACTTTTCATGATCGAGTCAGGAAACAACGCAGCCCGGTCGCTGCTGCTGCTGCACCTCTCCCCGGTTGCCTTTCGGAGCTGATTTTGATGTTCTTCTAGTGGAAACACGCGCATAGACGGCTTTTATTCTGAAGTTTTTCCAGCACGTGCACTGGCTCCACACAACTCGACAGCAAGTTAAAGCAGCGACTCAAAACGTTTGTATTTTTGAGGAAGGACTTCGTGGATTGCTGCAGCTAGGGGGGAAACTCTCAATTCCTTGTCCGGTTTTCCACTCGGACTGTCGGACGTCTGCAGGGGGAACATGTCGCTCCTCTCCAGCCTTCAGCGTCCGTGGTTTCACCTATTAGCCCCGATGTCTTTCCCCAAAAGGATTGCGGGAGTTAAACATCTGACAACGGGCGCACCGGGGGGTTACTCAACTGACCTGTACTTGGTTTTAGTTTTCATAGGAACTTCATTAAATCAATTACCCAGTGAGCACATCACGATTCTTGTATTTTCAAAGACAGAAAGTTTTTTTCTCCAGTGTCTTCTACAAATAAATATAATCATAACCCGCATAGAACACCGTGTTGTGTAGGAAGATGGTTTATTCTTGCTCTGACATTTAGACAGTGTTGTTTCTCACCGTCTATCTCAAGATAAGTGGCGCTAAATTATAGAATACCAGCAGTCACAACAGCTTATCGTTTGTGAGACCTAGTTTCAAATAAGTTTCCCTTCATTTGTTTTGAAACGTTTTATTTATATATATATAT